TCTTGTTTTAACTTGTTTGATTTATGTTTAATCTTGCATTTGTATTGAATTACGTGAAAGCATGAAAATGACCAAGGTGTTTTATTTATTTATTTTGAGCACAACTACTTGACCAAAAAGTAACTTACCTTGTGAATGAGCGAGAATTCGTTGACCCCTTTGAGCCTTAATGTAGGAATCTATATTAATTTTGAACTGTGGCAATTTTTCTTTGCATGAAAAGAGTAGTTCATCATTAATTTTTGTATGGATTCTGAATTTGTTTCTTGAAATACTTGAACCTTCAACCATGAATTGTGGTTTGAATTTTTACCCCTTCCTTAGAAAGTTTGGGAGCATTCACATTACAAGGATTTGTTGTATTCAAGTTGGGGAGAAAAAGGTGGATTTCTAAGAGGTTGAGAAAGAAAAAGAAAATTTTGAAAAAGGTAAGAAAAGAAAAGTGAAAAAGAAAAGAAAGAGATTTGTTGGAAGAAAATGTGAAAAATAAGTTTTGTGCTAATAATTTGTGTGAAATGGTGTAACAATTGTGCAATGCTTGAGAATTTGAGAAGTGATCACTCTCATTTGTTTCGACAATATTTTTGTTTCAATTACCTTATGATATGACCATTCTTTGTTAACCAAGCCACATTACAACCCTTGAAAGTCCTTGTGATTTGTGTTTTTATGCTTTCAATATGAATTTTTTCGATGAATGCATAACTTTATCTAGATGTTAGCAAGATTGTTAGGTGTGAGTCAAGTTCCTCATATTTGTTATTCATCCATTGATGAAGTTGTGTGTTAGGTGTGACTCATATTTGAAATTGTGTTACTTTAGAATTTTGACATTTGTTTTGTGCTTAGAATTCTTTTCATAATCATGGTGACGTTGTAGTATAGTGGTAAGCATCACTTTCCTTATACTCTTGTGATTTGAACCATACAATTGTTTTAGTTTCTAAAAACTTGTTGATCATGATTTCTTAGTAGTACCTCTTGTTTCTTTTAGGTTTGATTTACCATTGTTTAATAACAAACAACGTTTTAAGTTGGGGAGAGTTTGATAAGTGCAAATCTTGACTATTTTTGCACATAAAATCTTGACATTTTTCAACTCTATTTTGCGATTTCAATGATTAATTTCCCCAAGTTTTTTTTATAAATGTCATATAAATTGCAATTGGCTTTGGTATCCTTGATGTGTATGCTAAGTGTGTAGGAAATGTGCAAGAAATCAAAGAAAAAAGACACAAAGCAATAAAGTGGGAACAAAGCCAAGAAGGGGAAAATCAGTGAGCTCGCCAGGAGAGCTGAAGGCGAGTGTCGCCAGGCGAGCTAAAGGTGAGGCAATTCACTGTAGAGGCATAAACTATTTTTCAACATGGTCGTTGACGGAGCTCGTCGGGCGAGGTCTTGCGAATGTAGAAATTTTCAAAAGGCGGTTTGATGCATTTTTTGACTGATTGATGGCCAATAAAGTAACTTTTGTTAGGACGAGATGTAGCTCGTCGAGTGAGACAGGAAAATTTTAGTTTGTATATATATTCATTTCTTCATAGATTTTAGTTTGTTATACCATTTGATTAGAAATAATTCTTTGGAGATAGAGGCTTAGAAAACAACAAGAGTGGGTGCATCATGAAGATCCGGAGTTGGATTCGCTTCTATTGTTAGGTAGTCGCGGTAGATGTTTGTTCATCTCCATTCTTCTTCTTGTAATCTCTTTCTTGATGGGACTGTATGTAAGTTTACTATTAAAGTATGTATTTTTATTGATCATGACGTTTTATATAATATATTTGTGCGTTAATATTCAATGTTATCCTCGTTTACCTATTTACTTTTGATTTGAACCGTGGTTGAGAAACACTCTTCGAATCTGGATCTAGGATAATTATCTATTAGATTCTAAACTCTAGACATAGATTTAAATTTAACATTCACGTGAGTATCGAATCATAATGCTTTGTGTTGTTTGATAGGCTAAGAGATCGTCGATTAAACAATAAGGTAGAACTCTTGTCGGTGTGGCAGACATGCAATCTGATGTGAGCGATACGTGATGATATTGATAAGTTTTTAGATTGTGCATAATTACATGTTTGAGTGGTAGATAAAATTTAATTTTGATAAGCTCTCATATCTCTCTGAAACTTTATTGTTCTTTCATTCATTTTACATAGTTTAACTTTAAATTCAAACCATACAAACTCAAACTTAGAAACATAGAGACCTTTGAACAACATTTGATATCGCATCAATCTATATGGAGACGATAAAACCAGATACTTACTTACTTTTACTTGCTGCTTTACTACATCAACAAAAATGAATGAGAGTATCCTAATAAAAAAATATTATGAGTGAAGGGATCGAATTCTACCTATTGGTTTTTTCTTCAATTCTTTCCCTCTGTTTCAAACCCTTCTATAAATATCCAACATAAATACTATATGCATTTTTTAGGTTTTTCTAAATATTTTTTATTTTATGATAAATAAAGACCCTTTTAGATGTCTTAAGAAATGAAATGATATATTTGTTGGAGAGAAAAATGAGAGGCATGAAAGTGTGAGGCGGTCGGTGTATCAAATGGAGAAAAGAAAAGAAATTTCTCTCATCATCCCTCTTTGCTATGTCACGTGCCTAGAGAGGAAGAGATATAAATTTAGTTAAACTCCAGTTGATCCAATTTTCAAACAAAGTTCAGTCCTTTATATTTTTAATTAATATTTTATATTTTTTTCTTTATACTATTTTAGATATATGTTTTATATAAATAAGCTAAAACAAAGTAAATAAAATAAATTCAAACTAAATACTTAACTAAACTTAATTAATTTAATTAATTGTGATGATAATTTTGGCTAAAAAAACAAAAATAAATGGATAAAAATAAGTAAAAGTTAGACGCAAAAGTTCTCGAAAATTAAATTGAAAGTGTTAAAATAATCAGCGCGAAATAAACATCTCGAAAACATACTGGTTTTAATCAGATTTTAAAATAAAAATCGATCGATTAAAAGGCTCAAGCTGAGACAAATGCAACCAAAAAAGTAGTCGAAAAATTAAAACGAGCACATCAGGTTAAACTACGTAAAACGTAGATTAAGAATACTGACGTTTGCAAACTTAATTTTGAAATTTTTAACCCGCTAATTTTAGCTACCGTTGAGAAACGATTTGACCGATCTGTAGATTCAAAAAATTATTCTAGTTGATATTTTAATCGTTACATAGAACAAAATGCATGTTATAATAAGTTAAAAATACTTATGAATAATTGATTGAATAATTATGAATAGACAATCAGGTGCAAATAAATAGTCTGATTTCTTAATCAAAACTAACACCCTAATAAAAAAAATTATTTATTTTCTTTTTTCCCTTTAAACTTTTAATATCTAGAAGAAAACAAATAGACGAAAACTAACATCCACATTTATAAAGTTGACTGAATGGTTCTCGTCGACTTCCGAACCCAAATTTGATTGGAACGATCATATTTTTGTTCTTTAACGGTTTTATCAATATTTTCTCCTTCTTTCTTTAAATAAAAAAACTTCGATAGCGACTCTATTGTATTTCGGACGTTTGTTACGCCCAGATTTTTTTTGATGTCGTGACAATCATAAAAAATCTTTTCAAATAGATCTCATGTTCCTGCAATCTATTAAAGAGTGTGTCTATGATTGTTAAATCTTTATTCACAAATTACAATAACTTTAAGTTGCCAACTATGATTTAGACATCTAAAAATTTATATAAGCATTAATTATTTTTGTATTATATAATTATATGTCTTAACTCACAAGTTAATACATCGAAATTACATAAAAAAAATTATAATAGCATTTAAAACTTTAATTTATTTTTATTATTATTTGAATATATTTGAATTCAAAATTATAATGCTATCATTTAATGTGTTTCGTTAAATTTTATTATAAAATTTATATATATAAATATTTAATATATTTTGATTTTATGCTTAAATTTTACATAAATATATTAAAAATATTTTGTGTTATTAATATATTTATTTTTATTGAATAAAAATTAATATAATATAATAAGTATTGAAAGCTCTGCTAGACTGCTACTAACTTCTACTACTAAGAGTAACATTTATTATGTTAGAGTTTCTAACAATTTTTAGCAGAGATCTCCTTTAAACTATATATCACATTTTTTATTAAAAAAAAACTAAAGAAATTTTCAATAAATTTAAAAGTTAGTTCTTAATAGTACAAAATTTAATTTAACATGTACTTTAGTATATTTAGTTCACATGTTACTAGTATGAGTAGATAAACGAAACATAACCTAGCACCTAAATTGACAGTCAAAATCAAAATCCGATCAGTTTTGCTAAATAGGGTTTGTACAGACACAAGCAGTTGCAGGCTTTCTCTCAGCCGTCTTTACTATTTATAATTAAATGCCCTTCTCCTTTATTACCATTAATACCATAACAACCTTACCATTCACGAAACTCGTGCCTTCCATCCTTTCTTATTTCTTAAAAAATAAATTTATATTTTTTAATTTTTAATTTTTTTAATTACATAACACATCTGAACCCTGAATCTTAATCAACGGTCACAACTTCTCCAATTCCGACTGCTCAATGCTCATTTACCACCGTGAATTTTGGTAGACAGTAATGACTGTCTTTCTACCTCTCCTTGTAAGCTCTTCTTTGCACGAATACAAGAATAATAAAAAACTCTCAGCAAGTTGATAAAAAAAGTTTGAAACAATAAAATTAATTAATTTACTATCCTTGGTGGTGTTAGTTAATTATCCCTTGTCAGAGATGGTATTTACTGCCTCTGCCACAGTATTCATATAAGTAAAGTATTGTATTGATTCACATTCACATCACACCTAACCAACCTCATTTGCCGCTTCTTCTTTCTCACTTACCATTACTATTCTTACTTGTGCCTCTGCCATTACCACCTCTAGTACTCTATTCTACTGCTTTTATTTTCCTGTTACTGTCTCTTCCAATGGCCATTCCCATGCTTCGTTCTTCTTCTTCTTCCTCTTCCATCCCTTCACTTCCTCCACCTTCTCCTAAGTCTCCTCCCGAGTATCCAGATTTGTATGGCAAACGCCGTGAAATGGCCAAGGTTCAGATGCTTGAAAGAGAGATAAGTTTTCTTGAGGTTTGTTTTCTGTTATTTTGTATGGATATTTCTTAATGGAAAAAGTGTTAGAGTATGGAACTGTCAAATTGAAATAAAAAATTACTCTTCTTAATGCTTTTGATATGACATTTTTGTGATGATCAATGCAATACTAAATTTGAGTCCGGAAATGTAGTACTGCAGAGTTGTACAGAGTTGATTTGGGCTTTCATTTCAACTTCAACAAATGTACTAGCTTCTCTTTTGTGCTAATTTTAAATTCAGAGACAATGTTTTCTAACTTCAAAATTTAAATTAAACTAATTTTAGAATCAGAAAGTGAAGATGCTCTTTTTCAATTTGCAGAGAATCTTTTTGTCTGTGACTCATTGTCTAATTTGAAGGACATAGATTTTTTTTACTTCTATGGAATTATATGTATTATTAGAGAATTAATTATTAATTAATCAACAATCTTGTACCTTGTTCTCATTGAAAATTGGTTTAAGACTTTTTTTATGTACTGTTAAAACCAAATTTACTGTTAATTTTGAATTTACCAGGAAGAGTTGAAATCTGTTGAAGGTCTTCAACCAGCTTCAAGATGCTGCAAAGAGTATGTTTATTTGTGGAGTTTGATTCTTTGAAATGTTTAAATTATTCATAGTTGATTTTGGATTTTTACTGGTTGAATGCAAAAAAATATTTCAGGGTTGCTGATTATGTGGTGGTGAATTCAGATCCTCTGTTACCTTCGTAAGAACTGTTCTCATCAATCAATCATCCTTTTGTTAGTTTAGAAGAGATCATGATTCTTATGCCTTTCTCTTTCAAGCAGAAACAAGAAGAATCGCCGCTCTTGTCGCTTCTGGAAATGGCTCTGGTATGAATTTCTTCACCTCACAATTTATTTGCTTATACTAAAAAAGATGTTATGTATCAAGCTGAATTATTAGATAACCCCTAAAAGAAGGAACATTGTGAAGTCTATGGTTAGCTTAGTTTTGAGGAATGTCAAATTGCTATGCCTAATTGCGAAGATTATAGAAATTTCCTTGTCTTTTTTGTGTCCATCATGTAGCTGAGCCTTAAATTCATCTAATGTTGGTTGGTATTTATATGTATATGAGATAAATAGGAGCCACCACTGCACAATGATTGATATGTTTTCATTTATGGAAATAGCAATTAGTACTCACAATTCCATAGATAACATGAGGAGCTAACTTTTATGTGCAGTCGCATGCCATGTTTTAATCTATCTTGGATCTGCTGTTGCTGCTGCTGCTGCGACGGATTATCAGTACATCTAAAATTGCCGCGCTGCTGTAGTGACTGTAAACCATGCAGTTGTTGCAGTTGCAGCAACTGTTTTCCATCCTTGAGTTGCTCATTACCCAAGTGGAACTGCTGCTGTTGTTTCTCTTGTCCCAAATCAAATTGCTGTAAAGATAGCTTTGTTTCGGGAAATTGTTGTACTTTTCCAAGTAGTTGCAATTTCGGGTGTCTATCATGCCCTTCTTTATGCAGTTGCAAATGCACCTGCACTTGCTCTTGCCCAACATGTCCGAAATGTCCAAAAGTAAGCTCATGTTGCTGTTGTACAGATTCATGTTTTAATCCTTGTTTCTGTTGCTAGCTAGCATATTTCAATTCTTTTGAAAGGAGAAAAAGTGTGAAGAAGCTCTTGTCTTCAAAATTGCATTTATATTAGCTAGAGTATAATTTTTGGAAAAATAAATGTTTATAACTATGCAGTATATGGATAGTGGATGATGATACTTGAAGCAAATGTAATAGCTCCTTTTGTAAGTTCTATTCGATCCTTTGTGTTTGCATTCTCCAATATTACAATTAGAAGTTTCAACACGGAAATAGAAGGCAAACAAGCAACCAGCTGCGCCGGTGACGGCAATATTACTATTAGTGTTTGATATGATAGAGCTTCTGATTGTTAAAGGCTGTTGTTGGGGGGTGTTTGGCAGACGGTGAGTTCTGCTAGTTTCCTAAAATCATGATAAGAATAGTAATTTTAATTTATGTGCTGAGAAAGAAGAGAAAAAAGTGTGTTGTTTTTTGTCTTATTAATAATTTTTCACCTCCGAGTTTACAATATTTCAATCTAAGTGGTCCTACATGAAAGTTGATGATATATGAAATGATCAAATGGGGTGCACGGCAGGAAAATAAGTGAGGGGTGTGAGCTGCCTTTTTTTCTGCATAACTGACAAACGCAGAGCGCAGAGAGCACAGAACACGGGAAATGACTTTACATTCGGTACACCGATTAGTGGTGTCATTCACCTCCAAAAACGTTTGGAGTAAGGCACTTGAAAATAACCACTAATTAGTAATAGTAATTTAAAGGAAGTGTTGAGTTTGAATGACCGTGTGCAGTACTGCTGTAGAAGTTGCTAGTAACAGTGTCTTGTTCTTTTTTATTTTCTTTTACTTCTCTGATTAACTGCATGCTTGTACCAAACAGAAGGAAAAGAGAGAAATAATTCACACATGGGGATGAGGGTTTTCAGTATTCAAAAGCAAAATCTGTCTCGTGATGATTTTTCCGTATATTCTGAAATTGACCCATCTACTGAACCCATTTACGTGCATCTCTGCCTTTCTTTCTCTCAGTTCAATTTCACACTAATTCAAATTTAAAATACATAAATTTGTGATAATCACTCTTAAAAGTTTTGATTAAAATAGATAAATAATTTATTATTTGATTTTTAAAGTAATATTTTTAGTGTTTAAACTAGTGATAAACTACCTTTGTTAGATCTATAACTTTATAATTTTTAAATGAGTATTTTTTGCTTACATGAACTATAGTATTTAATTTTTATTGGAGAAATTTATAATAAAAATATAATTTATGCAATTGACAATGATTGATTATGTTTTTATAATAAGTATTTATATAACTAATTTTATAAGTAAATAAATGATTATATTTTAAATAAAAATTTATTATGATATTCTTAATAAGTGCATAATTATTTTTTTAAGTTCATAAAATGTTAATTATGGTTAATACTTAATGTATAAATTGATAATTTAAGACTAATTTTTTAGAATATACGAAATATGTAGGAATTAATAAAATTTTATAATTTTTTCCTACTTATACTCTATTGTTTTTGGTATGTCAAATATATATAGAAAAAATATTAATGATAATTATATTTAAAAAATTTATATTTAAATTTCAATTATGTTATATTTATGTTATTATGAATAAAAATAAATAGATTTTAAATCATAATACTAATTAATTCGAAATAAATTAAACATTATAATTATTTTTGAATTTATTTTGGATGACAGTATTAAATTTTTAGTTCGAAATAAATTATGAGATCCAACTTTCTATTATAAAAAATATTGTTTATACTGAAAATAAATATATTACATACGTTAGATAAAAGGCCTAGAATATAAGAGAAAAATAATACCGTTTATAATTGAATATGACTAAAAAATGTTGTTCACTTAAAACAATAGAAATACTAAAATAATAACAATTAAAACTATAAAATAGGAGTATTTGTAATAAAAAATCAAGTGAGAAAAAACACATAAGAAAAGGCAATTAAACTTTAATTTCTTAACATGAAATTAATGAAACATTAGAAATTAAAACTATCACTTTTTTTTTTATCGATTAACCATACAATTAAAGATAATTCATCTAATATAATAATTTTAATTATTACTAATATTTGATATGTAATAATTAGATATGTTTTGAGCCGCCTACGCAACCCAAAAATATAGAAGTCCAATAGTAATATGGAGTAACATTCAGCGAAGAACTGATGAATTTCTTCTCCCCTTCAATATTTAATCTCTCTTGTAAAGCGCTGTTACAACTGTCCAGATTGATCCAACAACTAATCGCATAATGCGTCTCATCTCACGCGTTCAGTTGCTAATCAATTATCATATTTAAAGATAAAAATGTGTCATTTTCAAGTATTCAAAATTTACATACCAACTCCATATCCACTATATTGGAAACAGCGAACCAGCGTAGCTAATTGTGAATCCACTCTTTCTGATCATCATCTAGTTTCAGGGCAAAATATTTGTCCGTAGGAACCGACTTGATTCCTACAATTTTTCACGACCTAATTTCCCTCTATTTGACCAAAATTCTTCCATTCAAAATCTAGATCTCCTTTGATCGAAGCGCAGATCTCCATTTCTTGATCAATTTCATCATATTCAAATTCAAGTTCTTTGCCTACAGACCCATTAACAATGAAAGTCTCAAAAGATTCTCGCTCTTCCACCCAACAACAAGTTGTTGCAGCCGCTGAAGCTTCCACAAATCTTCTACCTCTTCCTCAAGGGACAGACGATAAAGTCTTAACAATTGTTGCATTAGTTCCCCCACAACAGAGTTTTGTCCAACCAAGGAAAGATCTAGGAGTGTTTCCACCTGCTTTATTCCTCGGATCTACATTGCACTTTTATTTAGGCGAACCTTCGTCAGACCTCTGCTACAAGCTAAAATGTTCAGACGAGAAGTGCTTCCCAACTTCCAACTATTGCAAGCTAATATAGACTTGAAAGAAGCAAACAAAATGTTGAACAACATCTACCAAATGATTCAACAACAGAATTTCAAGGCCTTAGCTGATAGGTTGACCGGGATTGAAGAAAATTTACACAACGCTAATCCGAGGAACAACATTATGCAAGAGGCGACTTCACATAAAACCATCATCCTTGAGCCAGAGAGGAACCCAAAAGAGGTTCAGAAATCCCCAAGCCTCTACCACAAGCATCATACTCATTCTTCTAGTTCTGAAGGATGAAAAGACGTGTAGAAGAGGGAAATGCATACTCTCCACGAGGTTCACCATCTTAGGAGGAGGGAAAGGCGTGAAGAAGATGCTCCTGCCCAACTGCAAAAGAAGAACCCCATATCCGCTTGCATCTTAGACGTAAAAACCCTGAGTTCAGTAAAGATGACTCTAAAGCTCTAGAGTTATGATGAGACTAAGAACCTAGATGAGCACGTCAAACATTTAGACGTCCGACTAGACTAATATCATGTTCACAGAGATGTGAAGTGAAAGCTCTTTATATTAACCTTAACCAAATCAACTATAGTCTGGTACAAGTACCTTTTGGATTGAAGCATATATTCATGGACCGACTTGTGCAAGGCTTTCACCGCCAATTTCCCCGTCAGGAAGAGACAACCAACCACCACGGTTGGTCTTAGCATAGCCATGAAGAGTAATAAAGAGACAATGTGTGTGTATATTTATTGTTTAACTAAGGTGGAGATAAATGTTGGAGGCTTAGATGAGAGCGTGAAGGGCTAGAATTTTGAGAAATGCCTCAAACTAGACATTGCGTTCCAAGAGAAGTTAGGGCGCAGGAAGGCCCAAAATCTGAAGGATTTCTTAAGTAGTGTGCAACATTACATAAATGAAGAAAAAATGTTGGCCGATGGAGGTAGCTAGATACCAGGGAATGTTGGATCTAGTCAGGCATTAGACAAGGATTCCAGGCGGCCTAAAGAGGAAAGTGAACACAGACCCTGCTCAAGGTTTGAATCATACATTCCCTTGAATACTTCATGAGAGAGGATCTCATAGAAGTGTGCTAACATGGAGTTCAAGGAGGCGGGGATAAGGAACCCATATCCAGTCAAAGAGTCTGCACTGACTGATAAGTCCAAAAAATGTTATTTCCATAAGAGACAGGACCATAACACCAATGATTGCATCCAGATGAAAGATGTAATTGAATGACTAATCAATAAGGGGAGATTGTCTGAGTATACTAAGAACGACAAAAGAAGCCGAGAAGAATACCCTAAGAAGAGGTAATCCTTGAAGAAAACCATAGAGGCCATGGCCATGAAAAAAGGAAAATGGGTGAGTAGTGAGAAGGGAGAAGTACATAAAGGGAATATCCAATACATCGCTTCCACTATGGGAGATGTATCGAGGGTAAGAAACCCTTCCAAAAGCACAATGAAGAGAAAGATTGCTAAACCGATGGGTGACAACAAGGAGATAAGAAGAACTTCGGCTGTAAACCCAGAAACCCAATCCTCAAATTTCAAGATAGCGAAAAGGTCAAGGGAATCCCTAACGAGATATTTCCTCTGGTCATAATGGCCACAATCTCTAACTTTTATGTATCTAGTATAATGACGGATAATGGTATCTCCTGTGATACTACGTACTCGGATCTTTTCAAGAAGATGGGATTGAAGAAGAAAAAGCTCTAGCGCTATGAAGGGTCTGATCTACAAGCTTCCAAAGACACTATAACTCGCTCGTGGGGGTTAAATAGATTTGATGGTCACCTTGGGAGAGGGAAGAAATACCAGGATTGTTGAATCTCAATTCTTAGTCATTAATTGTAGGAGTGCCTACAACTGCATCATATGCAAGCCTTTTGCAGTAGCACTAGACACGATGACTTCCCTAATCCACTTCAAGTTGAAGTACCAAAATATGTATGATGAGTCATGACAATCAACGCTGAACTTTTTGGGGTAAAAAGTGAAATTCTGGCAAGCACACGATGGATGTTATCACGGATGTTATAACATCTACTATAACACAAACTATTGGAATAATAACAAAGCTGTAAAGAGAAGCAGTA